GGCGGGAAAAAATCGGAAAAAATCGGAAAAAATCAGAAAAAATCAGAAAAAATTCAGAAAAAATCGGGAAAAAATAAAAAAAATAAGAAAAAACTGAAACCGTAGCCAGAACCTTGGACAATGGATAGGTACGCCTTGAGCTCGCGATGCGCACTTGGACATACCTGCACCTCTGCCGCCGTGCCTGCTGCAGGGGGGCCGAGCTTGTGCACAAGCTAGTTGTGCACAGAATGTTTGTGCACGCGTTGTGCACGCGGTTTGCACGTGGTTTGCACGTGGTTTGCACGCGTTGTGCACGCGGTTTGCACGTGGTTTGCACAAATGTGCACGTGGTTTGCACGTGGTTTGCACGCGTTGTGCACGCGGTTTGCACGTGGTTTGCACAAATGTGCACGTGGTTTGCACGCGGTTTGCACGCGGTCTGCACGCGGTTCGCACGTGTTGTGCACAGGACCATTTTATCACGGGCGAACCACGTTGCCGGAGGAGCGAAGCAGGGCTTGTCGTTTTGTTTACGTGTACGTGGCAAACCCAACTTATCGTTAATGAATCCATCACCAGGATCGCCTCCCGAGGTGGACCCAGACCACTGGTACCCTGACCTCTCCCCGCCGAGCACGCTCCTCGAGCTGGCGAGCCGTGAGACCGATCGCGGCCCGTACGTGCGCGCGCTGCTGGCAGCAGGCGCAGACGCCAACCGGATCAACCCGTTCCACCGGAACGCTCCGCTGCACGTGGCAGCCGAGGCGGGCAATGCATCGTCCATGGAGGAGTTGCTCCGCGCCGAGACCGTCGACGTCAACAAGCAGGACCTGTGGGGCTGCACGCCGCTGCACCTCGCCGCCTTCAGGATGCGCCTGCGAGAGCCTGGCAGTGGCACAGGTATGGGCGCCTCCGAAGAATAATGGGGGGGACGGTGGGTCACAATATAATTGATTGCCGCACTCACTGTAAAAAATTTATATAGTAGATTTCCTATAAATGTATCTGCAGCAATTCACATATACATGTATGGGAATTTTCCCATACAGGCGTATGGTAATTCTACCATACGCGATAGTATTCTTACCATACAAGTATAGGAATTCTCCTATACACCTGTGTAGGATAAGTACCATGTGTGTGTGGCATTATCCCTACACATGTATAGGAATTTTCCTATACACTCAATGCTCTTTCAAAAAAGAAAAAGTTTTTTAGCAGATGATACCTTACAACCTTACACCTAAATATATCTAAACATAACTATACATGAGTAATGTAAGGTGTCATTGCTTTAACTCTCGATTAAGAAATATAAATGAGAACGTATAGCAAGCTGCGCTAGGCGGGGCCGTGAGGCGGCTGAGGCCGTCGCGTCGCGTCGCTCGCGCTACGCGTTGTTGCGCAGAGCCACTAGCCGAGCCGGGCGGAGCCGAGCCGAGCGGAGCCGAGCCGAGCGGAGCCGAGCCGAGCGGAGCCCGAGCCCCGAGCCGTCGGCCGCGCTAGTCTACGCTAGTCCTCCCCCTCCCTCGCACCGCTGGAGCCCCCGCACCCCCCCTTCCCTACAAGTGTAAATACAGAAATATAATAGACTGGAATAGAATAATTCTTGACAAGGTATCATCTGCTTTCACGATCCGTTTCTGGTCGGAACTTTTTTTCTTAACCACTTTCCCGCCGTTGCCCTCGTTCCTTGTCGCCTTCCTACCGCCTTTTGGTAATTTCATTTAACTAAGCATTGATGTAATTTTGTAATACTTTCCCTAGTAGCACATAATTGTCGTACGACTGTCGGACAACAGTAGAAAAAAGATACGAACTATCGGTGCGATATACGAAATGAGAAAAATGATTCTATCGGTATACTATCTTTTTCCCTCGAAACGAAATTCTTTATCGGCCAGCTATCGTAATGGAAGCAAAAAACCACTGTTGTGGATTCGATCAGGAATCGATAACAAGTACAACAAAATGGTAGATGGTTTAAATTTGATAGACCAGAGACAATCGTCTGACTATGGAAAAGCCATCACTTTTGGATTTTCTTTATCGTCATAATAATACGACGATAGATAAAAATCACACTATGTGCGACAGTTTTGTGTTACTAGGGTTAGCGAATGGAGAGTTGAACCTCGGACTTCTGGCTTGCGCTCCCGTCACGCTGACCACTAGACCACGGCGACTTGTTGGGAAGCGTGCCCCACCAACACCGTGTCATCCCAGAGCTGCGCGCCGCCCCTCGCTGGGCCATTCCCAGAGGGTCAGCCAGGTGTC